TGGACAAAGAATGAGCAAAGACAGCTGGCAACAAAATGTTTCTACGAAAGCTCTCACGTTTTATAGAATGAACAGTAATACAGAAGAAGCTTTCAGACAACAAGGAGAAGTCGTAGACATCATCCCTCCATGAAATAGCTTGTTATTTTGTAATCGTTTGGTGTATTTCAATAGCAAACTCTATAACTGTTATAGAGTTTGCGAATATACTACTGGGGATGGTACCCAGGCTACATTTGCCTGTACATGTAGGTCAATGACCAGGCAAATGACCTGCAGACCAGACAAACAAGATTTATTTTCCTGCACTCTGTCTAGGGCCGGTAAAAATAGATAGGGCTGCCTGCCAGCTGGAGGTATAAACAAAAACACTCTGTCCCAACTTTTGGGTCAAACAGACCATCCTATTATGAAGTAGGGGTGAAAAAGTGAAAATCCTTTTAAATTAAGCAATAAAAATATGCGACAACCTGCTAATGCACTCTAAAACACAAAGAGACTCAACAACTACCCACATACCAAAAATCATACCAAACCATCCGCCAGATTTTCCAAACATTCAACACAAAAAGTCCAACATTAAACATTTTGTAAATATCAAACGCAAACAGCTAGGGGACCCAAATTTAAACCACTAAACCATGGTAATAACAACTACATGCTACCTTAATATCGCACAAACAGTCCATAACGCGAAAACAACAGAATAAAAAAATTAAACTGCAGTACCAAGGTCAATCACCAGGGGCTCAAAGTCAACCTACACAATCTCCAAGGCCCCATCCATCAATCTGCCAAATATCGTACAGTTCCTTCTCACCGATCTTCAGATATCAGACCAAACATGAAACGGAGTAAAAACAGTACCCCCATTTTCATGGAGGGTAATTACTGAAGCTTTTTGACCACAATTGACCTCCATTCTGGACAAATTATGTGACACAATGATTTCTTGACTTCCTAAAAGACCTTCGAAATTAACTAACGGTGAATTCCTGAATTCCTTAACTTCTATACTAAAATGAGAAGAAAAAAAACATCTCAATGTATATTTCAGGTTCGTTGCATGACCAAGAAATCACTCACATAGGCCCTAAGTGTGAGAGACAAAACAGTTAAGATTCTTTCTTCCTTTGCCCCACTTCAGGTTGCGGTAGACACGTGTCTAAGAACTACACCTGTACAGGTGTGTCCTGTTGACCTGTAGACTCGACACCTGGAGTACCTGTCCATTTAAACAGGTAACAACATTCAATGAAGCCTCTGTACTATTCTAGTACAAGAAATCCGAGTAAAAGAAAATCCACACGTGACCATCGTAATGCATAATTATATTACTAAGAATTTTAATGTGCATTTATTTTATTAAGTTACTGTTAGCTTATTTTGAGTTAGTGGATAAAATGAGGGTCTGCGATTTGCAATGGCTTTTTCTCTGAGCCATTTTAATTCCCTGTTAATCGTAGCCATCTTCTTGGAATTCAACTTAAGCCTTATCTGGAAATTCTTCATGGGTGAAGCATAATTGGTCACTTTTGTTCCACTTTGTATGTTATTTCTTATCCTGAAATTCATCATTAATCATTACGGAAAAATTCTTCCTATCACGTTGTCAATGCCAGATTGCCCCCAAATCAAAAGGGAGTGTCCAAGGTCCACAAACTAATTTTGCCAGACACCCTATGAATACAATTATAAAAGTTTCGTCCAAAGCCTTATACAATACAAGTTGATTTACCATTAATTTACAATTCAGCATTAATGCACCTCCTAAATTTAATGTTGAGCGTTGCTAAGATATCCCAATGCAGACTCTCTTAAAACAGTCAGTAAGCCTGTATTTGTATTTGCTACTCTCTACCAAAATAAGGAAAAAACAAAAATGAGATATGACTTGTCAGACTTTTAGTTTTACCTTTGTATCCAAGAATCCTTATAAAAGGAAACTATGCAAAGAAAAACTGTAGCAAACTTAGCTCAAAGCTTTTATCTTTTTACCCAGGTCCTGGAACTGAAAGAAACTGTTAAGATTTCAATTACTGTTTGAAAAATGCAGGTGTCATGACATCCTTTTATCCCGGGTACAAGCCTTATTGAATGACTCTTGTCCCCAGGGTACTATCTGTCAGCTCTGACTGATGGCGAAGGTTTAACGTCTGAGAGCGCCGTCTACGGTTTCCCCCGGAGATCGCTTCCACGCAACATCATGGCCGCCTGTCTACACGTATGTACGCTTTTATCAATAACGTTTCTTTGACCTTTTAACAGAAGAACAATACAGCCAGACACCAAACCCACATCTATACACTTACTGCGGCCAAATCAATTTTTTCTTGTTTTTTGTCACTTTTTAGACATGCAGAAATGCAATATCAAGGCTAGCTAGCCACATATATGTGTGTATAAGAGTGTAGCTAGCAGTGGTGACTCGTGAAGAAGAAGAAGGCCCATAACTTTTCTTTCACCTTTTAGCATTACAGTTTACTGAAATGTTACTGAAATGAGACTGTCAGCAACTGATCAGTTGCTGACAGTCACATATCAGTACTGGTGGTTTTCTTTCGAAATTGCACCGCAGTTTTTAAGAGGACAGTATCCCCAAATGCCCTCCAGCATTGATGCCCTTTCTGTCTGTAGAAAGAATGTATTACTAGTAATGTACGACTGATAGAGGCATTACTAGTAATCCTGCCATTATTGAAATGGGTTTGCCGATACGCTGTAGCTAGTACTAGCTACAGTCATCCATTGTTGAGTGCATTAGTGTTAATGGTATATTATCTATGGTATGCATTTCACAGTAGGTTATGTAAGGTACAAAGTGTCCATGCCCTTTGCCTGTTACAGTTTAAGTTCAATTGCTGGAGAGGTATACAGCATTGCTACATTTATGATACCAATAAAATATTACTAACATTTACAACCTCCTTGGTGAAAAGCAGCTGGATTTCTCTTAAAAAACAGGCTAAAATCAATACATACACAAAACATGTGATCCACAAAAGCAGGTTTGTGTGGCTCAAATACGCACATGCAACATACAGCTTGCAGAAAAATATTACAGACTACGGAAATTGGTGGTTTCATATACATGTGCCTCTGTGAAATATTTTGAGCTTTTGTGAATTTATAGCATTATTGAACTATTCGTTATTATGAATTTCTACATCTCACCAACAACCAGCAACTGCTGGGACCTAACTACCTGTTCCTGACCTTTTATGGTCTGTAGTTAAGGTTATTCCCACTACCCAAATGCTGTCAACTGTATGGACAGACTTTAGCAAACACATACCTGACTAAAAACATTTTTTTCATTTTCACAGTCACAGTGGCAACAACTTACAATTTGGTGAGTCAAATGAATACAACAAGCCTAGAATATTGTAGACAACACAAAAAATAAAGTATTTTGAGCGCTCAGCCTACTTATAACTTGCATGTAATCATCTTTTTCATAGGATTTGTTATGGTAACTGCTTTGGCTCTGAACCCTGACTCACTGCACACTCAAAGGTTTTATTACTGCACTTTGTTAGGTAATGACTGTAGGCAGCTGCTGCTTAACATTGGCAACCTTCCAAATATGGAAAAAGTCGCTCTTGACAGACAAAACAGGAACGGCGCAACAGAAAAGAGACATTCCATAGGATTATACAATAGAATTGTGAATGGTTGTTTCAAGTACCTCTTAGTGCTCTTTTGAATTTGACCCCACCTTTTTTCGGTAAATGGCAATACAAAGGTAAAAGAAAAACATACATGTCGTTTTTTTAACATCAAATTCATCATATTGTAATTTTATATACATGTAGTACAAGGGATATGATATACTTAAGACAGTTGTTGTACAATAGCAGAAAACTACATGTATAATGTTATATTACTTATTCACTAATTCTTAACTTTCAAAAATACAGAGTTGAAAATTCAACTGTGTATTTTCTATTTTTAAACACTGGACCATGCAAAAATTACAAGAATACTTTTGATCTAAAGATGTTTGAAAACTAAGTACACTGTGTGTAATTAGATTCTACACTAAAATGTTACATCCTTACACCTGTTAAGATTGGGTGTGTTGTCCTTGTTTTGATAATGTCCGATAAACAAACAAATTAAGGGCGTGTGACGACCCTAATAATCATCTGACTCACTCCAGATGTTACTAAGCAGGGTTAATAATATCCAGATACAGCACTCAGTACTATTATGGGAATTATTAATAATTCATCACAATTATTCATGCATGAAAGTAAGTGGAGTGTGAAAAACCAAATGGACACAATACATTTTGAAGCACTTTGGGGACAGAAAGTCTGTAACACAATTTTTTTTACATCTAATTCGTTATTTAAAAGCTTCTGGCGCTTTTCTAAGCTCTTTTTTTCATGGTATGAATAAACAGTAATAAGATTATGCTGTAGTCGATACATGTCAAAAGCAGAAATAGCTGAGTGGCTACATTAACCTGTTATTGGTAGATCATATTACATGTAAACACCACGCAACATTTTTCTGCTGGACAAAAAAAAAGAGAAAACGGGCCAAAACCAAGTTAAGTAATAATTCTAAGGTTTTTGTCATAGTTATTTATGATACCATATTTTTTTGCCCGAGGATAACCTGAACCGTATGAAATTGATCGCGAAACTGACCATGTGACAAAGAAATCTACGTTTTCTAACTTCTAGCCAGACTTCTAGCGGTCTAGACTTCTAGATGTCTAAACCGACATCATGAGTCAACTGATCATCTATATCTGGTCATTTCTATACTCTCTTCCTGCAAAGTAAAGGTTGTGTTGGAAGAGGAAAATCGTACTTTTTCCAGTGGAAGTTTACGCGTATAGCGGTACTGATCACTGAACCGTGTCTAGGTTAGAAATTTCCCGCTACCCCGCGAGCAAGGACCGTTAGAAAGGCGCTTTTCGTCGTCGTTCTTCTGCATTTATACTCACAATTATAACTGCTAAGTACAGAAAATAGTCGGATCATCCTACCTGTGTGTCTAGATCGTTCAAAAGAAGTGAAAATCCGGCTGTAGACGGCTGGAAAGGTAGGAGCGTGTAGGCACACCCACTGTACCTGGTTGCCCAGTCGCCATCTTTTAGCGTCCTGGCTACTTCCGGGAGGGCACGACCCCATACCCTCCAGGTCCTTACGCCTGATTAGTGTCCCATTTCTGAACAAGACACTTTACGCGTAAGGATATTTGCGTGTTGCTTACACTTTCTTTCGGTATTTTTGTTCAAAGACGCAGATAAACTGCTCTGACTTCCAATTTAGAAAAATGTATCAAATTGTAACGTTACAATATTCACCTGATGATGGAATTATGTACTATGATCGTCTTATATATATAAAGACTTTTATATATGCTAGAAAATATATCATATCCAATTCATTAGGTGCTTTACGGAGCCTTTAATCACTTTCATGGCAATAATAAAATTAATCATTCCTATGTAAATGCCATTCAGCTATATTTCAGCAACATGATATCTGTATTATGCCATCTAGTCAATATTTCACAAGGATGCCAACATTATGACGGCATGCCATATAATCTTTAGGTCAATAGTACAAAATATGGACTCTGACCTATATATCTCTGACAAAAACAGTATTCGAACCACTGTGAGGGTCGTGCAGTTCCTACAAACATGGTAGGGGGCGCTGCTGAACTACACTCACAGAGTCACATTTTGATTGGCTTTCTCTACAGCGGGCCTGCCCGCAATTACAAAGAAACTTTAAATATTAGTATCTTTCTCGTGCAGCGAGTTACTTTGTAAGTACATCTTAAAATATCTACCATATGCGTAACTATCTTACGAAAAGTATATTGATTAATTTAATAATAAGTTATTAAATAAGTTATTATGCGTTAGTTCTCTTTCCCTTTGCAGTGAAGATTGTACGATTTAGGGTAATATTCCGTTCTCAGTTCTTTCAGCGTTTCCTTGGAAATTATTTCATCCGTTGCCAAATAATTCAAATAGTCTATAGACCTGCACATACCATTTTGCGTCCTTTCGCAGTATATACAGTGTCTCTGTATGGTTGCCTTGTGTTCTTTGTCAGACACTATTTCCAAATGTTTCTTGATTGAGTGCTCCAAGTTGTGCGCCCTCGCTCGCCTCTCCGCAGCTATAACGTAATCACATTTCAACTCTCTCCGGAAAACCAGACAAAAATCTCTGTCCACAGAAAACCCCGGGTCCCACTTGCTTTTAGGAATCTCAAGTTTCTCTCCAACATCGCAAGACCACCTCTCCAATGCCTCACAGAAATCTATCACTTGTAGATTGATCTTCTTAAAGTGCTCAATCTCGTCCGTTAAGTCTTGACCACCGTCAGATAGTTTTCTTTGCAGTACCCCGTAGAAGTGTTCATATAACGCGTAATCTACGTAACTCCATTGTCTGTGTACTTGTTTAAGGTCGTCAGGGATATCTTTCTCGTCGTCGTGTGTAGTTTTTCCGACGTTTCTAGATATGTAAATAATATCCTTGTGATTCCAACACATTAACCGTTTGAAGAGGACTAGAGATTCATCGAAATGCTCCATAATCATCACAAGGGGAAACTCTGATTCTATCTTCTCTATAAACATGTCTGTTATTGTCTTTTTGTACGAATCGTCTTTTCTGTAATAAGTCGCTAACTCCAGGGGAAGACCTAGGTCTACCGCAAGAGGACTTCTTGTGAGGGAAACTGGGGGAATTTTTCCTCTACAAGACTTATTCTCTACGTAAAAATGTGCATCAAAGTCTTCAGGGTTCTGAAGGAAAGTTATGACAGCATCTGTACCGTTTGACGAAATCCCAAATCTGTGTTTCATGTTATGGAAATCCCAAACAGACCTAAAATGGCTAAAAGGCTCTCTTAGTATTGCCAGATACACTGCGTCCTTTGGCATAAGCAGGCTAAATTTCTGACTATCATAAACAGTGTGATATGTCAGAATGTCATAATTTTCCCGATGCGCAAACGCGTAGTTCGTACGGGGATACAAGTTCCATGGATACGTACAAGTCAAAAGAAACGGTTTCGGCAACAAAAAAGTCAGATTCCGTTCGTAGCCAAAGCGGTGAAGAATGCTCATCATTGTGTCTCCTGCGACTTTGTGAAGTTTCGGAAATGCTACTCTCTTCCTTTCAGAACTGCACGGTTCCATGCGACCTACTCTGAAATCTGGTTCCATCGCTTCTTTGGCTGTTCTACCATAAAATGGTGGATGTTCTAACCTCTGCCAAGCGTTGTCATGAATTTGCGCGGGAACTCTAGGTTCCTTCAACATCTTTAAGGGCAGTTCAAATCGCTCTGCAAAGTATATGACCAATTGCTGTGGCTCTAACTTGTGTGCCTGACATTCGTCGATGACATCTCGAAGCTGATTGGCGTCTAGCCTGATGAGCCGACGGAGAAGCTGATTTGGTTGGTCCACGTATTTTCGAACCACTTTGAAGATCATTTGTAACTGTGGGCGATGATCGTATGCCTTTTGCCTGATCATAAGTTTTGTAACCTCCTGCCTTCTTTCGGTCTCATAGTCTCATGCTATGTATTCTGTTGGACCTAAAATGAAGAGAAGCACAATGACAAACTATACAGTATGTCCTATAAATTTCAACACACATATACGTAGCAAGAAATCGAAGGCTTTACATCTCCTTGAAGTATTTTTGTCTTGTACTTTTGTTATTCTATTCGTTATTTGTGATTGCCCACTGATTCACTATCACTTCCTCCTAGCCTGTGGGGAAACCATTTTGACCTCCATGAATCCAATTTGACCTTCCTGTCAGTCTGCGGTTATACAATTCTCCTGCACTCCCTATGACTTTACTGTATTTAAATGATTACGGACACATAAGCAAACAAACAGACAATCCCACTGAACACAAAACCTCCACACACGGAAGTAATTATAAGGCAAGCCGAAGAGATTGTGAAGTAACGATCCACGTTCTATATGCTATAGATAAATGCTGAACTTTGTTTGGATATGCTTGTTTAGTAAGCTCTATACTCACAGCATATCTCTGACATAGATAATACAAGCTTATACCGTACACAGCAACCTCTTAATACTAATACTCTAGAATGATATGATCCTTACCTGTCATCTGTTAATGCAGAATTGAAGACATAGCCCACAAAGAGAACCAGGGCAAACACCTGTAGCGCGTAGAACAGCTTTCTTCTTCTAGAAATCAACATCACTGTATCATGGCCTGGACACCGAGTGATCTAGGACAGAAAGGTAGTGACGTAGTGTACTAGTATATATAGATATAAAGTGGGGGAGGGGGGTAAAGCAAATAGTAACAACTGGCATAAAGTCACTTGTGACTACATGTGCACGTTGTAGTAGTGGTCACAGATTCACCTTATCTTTCTAGATCTGTAGATCAGAGAAATAGACTTAATGGGGGAGGTGTGACCTTTAAAAGTCGTCTTTTATCAAGCTGCGACAATTATCATAGTTGGCACAGCATGAGTTGGGCGGCGGTTGTAGTTTGGACGTGTTCCAGAGAACAATTAGTTGAAAATCCCAAATATTGCCCCCGAAGCAAAACATACGTGCATTGAGTCCCCAACCCCGAAATATATATCCAAAGTAATCAACAACTCCATAACTCCCCATAACGTTTTAAGTCAGCTTCAGAGGCAAAATGGTAATTTTAAGATCAAGAGATAATGAGTGCCAATTAAGACTCATTTTCCAAAATTGTAGAACCACCCATCACTCGAATTTCTGGCCTAGTCTGTGTTCAGACCTTTTCAGTTTATATGGGGACTCGAATACTCCTTTCTTAAAATCAGTTAACTAAATATGATGATAACTAGGCTATCAACTTCAATGCCCGACGATTCAACATAAACTTCTCTCTACTAATTCTGACATTAGAGACTATCTATTACAATGCATCATTGGCCTCGACCATAATTTGACCCGGCTACTGTCCCAATTACATAATTATAGACCTCACATCGTACTTTATACAGGCATATGAATATGTCTCCTGAAAGCTAAAACTCTGTATATATTTTGTCTATGTCTACAAGGTCAAGGACCCAGCATTTTAGTCTCCAAGAAGATCTATGGCGCAAAAATCGTGACGTTTATTTTTACTAGCCCCTTAATTTGTTGTTTGAGAGCATGGAGATCAGTCAAAACCGTCACTATTTTGCCTCCAAAGATCTGTTGAGAGATTACCACCATATATCAAGGCCTTCTGTCAAACAGGCCTGACGCACGTTTTCAACATGGATGAATACATAGTACACAACCTTGTGTTAGTGACGTCAAAACTCATGGCATGTTCCGTAACATTCAAACTCGTACTGGCCAATTACAAACTGTCAATCTATGAAGTATATGTGGTTACCTACCTTGTAGTTTCAGGTGTCTAACTCTTCAAGATTTCTTCAAAAAAACTTCATCGGAAGTTAATTTGATACGAAATTTACGGAGAACAACATGCGAATCCTAGGGAGGTCAGATTTACCTTTGTTTGGGTGGCGACGAAACCGGTTGGACAAGATATCACTTACCCCTATGCTGTAGAGGTCAACTTTACAAATATAATCTATCATTAACTACTGACAGAAGAATAACACAGAAATGTATCCACCATTTCATTTTTTGTTTATTTGCATTCGTAGGTTGTGCAAAATAAAGAGCTAGGGATTTTATATTTAATCTTTAAAATTTCTTCTATGGAATTTTTGTTGCAGTCATTATGACACACCCAAAGGCCAAAGTTCACGTCTGGGGACCCGCGTGAGGTCAAGGTATTTGGCCTGGTATTTGAATGAATAGATATTATCAAAAGATAAGGCAACAGATAACATAATAGACATTGACAGATAGCATAACGCAAACGTGAACACTCGTACTAAAGTTATCCAATGCAATTTCAGGGCGACCAGAAAATTGACTGAAAATCCAGTTGTACTGTCATGAAATCTTTGGGTACCTTTAAATTAGATATCAAGAACTACAGAAACATGTACCTACTTTGCTTTACAATGTAGATTATAGGACTTAGGGTAATATCTCGTTCTTAACTCCCTCAGTTTTTCCTTCGATATAATTCCATCCGCCGCCAAGTAATTTAGGTAATCTACTGAAAGACACATGCCGTATTGTGTTCTTTCACAGAACAGACAGTTTTTCTGGATAGTTGCCCTGCTTTCGTTCTCAATGAAGGTGTCCTTGTACTTGTTATAATGCACGGGCCAATGCTCTACCCTTGCTTGCCGTTCTGCAGCAATGACATACTCGCATTTTAACTCTCTTTCGAAACGTAGACAGAAGTCCTTATCCACGTGAAACTCCTTATCCCACTTGCTTGCCTCAATGACGAGTCTGTGTCCAACGTCGCAAGCCCCGTGACTCAACTGGTCGCAGAAATAAGAAACTCGCAACTGTATCTTCTTAAAGTGTTCGATCTCCTCTGCTAAGTCTTGTCCACCTTCTTGGAGTTTGTCTCGAAAGACTTTGTAGAAATGTTCGTATAGCGCGTAATCTACATGACTCCACTGCTTGTGGACTTCTCTTAGATACTCTGGTACATCGTCTCTTTTGTACAGGTACTTCCCAGAATTTCTGCGCTTGTAAATAATGTCTTTATGGCTCCAGCACATTAAGCGTTTGAAGAGAACCAAGGATTCGTCGAAATGTTCCATGATCATCACTAGTGGAAACTCTGATTCTATCTTCTGTATAAACATGTCTGCAACTTTGTTTTTCTCGGAGTCATTCTGTCTATAAATAGTAGCTAGCTCTAGTGGTAGACCTAGATCTACTGAAAGAGGGTTGCGAGTTAGAGAAACGGGTTGTATCTTCCCTCTACAAGACTTATTCTCCACGTAAAACTTAGTATCATATCTTTCAGGATCTTGCAAAAAGGTCGTGATACCTTCAGTACCCTTTGACATAATGCCAAACTCACTACTCAAACCGTAAAAATGCCAAACAGATTTGAAATGACTGAAAGGCTCTCTCAGTATTGCTAGATACACTGTATCCTTAGGCATAATTTCGCCGAACTTTTTGCTATCATAAACTGTGTGATAGGTAAGGATGTCGAAGCTTTTCGTTTTAGAGGGTGGATAATTCGTACCGGGGTACAAGTTCCACGGATACGTGCAACTTGATAGAAACGGTTTGGGCAACAAGAACGTTAGGTTCCTTTCGTAGCCAAAACGGTGAAGCATACCCTTTATAGTGTCCCCTGCAACTTTGTGAAGTTTTGGAAACGCCACTCGGGTCCTCTCCGTAGTGCACTGTTTCATGTTCTGTACTCTTAACTCTGGTACCATTGCTTCCTCCACAGTACTACCATATAACGGCGGATGCGGTAGCTTCTTCAAGGCACTCAAGTTGACGCTATCCTCTCTTGGTCTCATCTTCAACTCTACACCAAATCTAGTCCCTAGATACCTAATCGCCTTCTCCGGTTGACTCCTATAGGCTTGCATCACGTCTAGAATCTGTTTTAATTGATCGTTGTTGATTCCCCTCAGCTTGTGGAATAACACATCCGAGTTGGACACGTATTTCCGTACTACTGTAAACATCATCTTTAGCTGGCTATGGTTATCGTTGGTCACGTATGTAGAATTACTAGTAATCTTAGGCTTTCTACCCGACCGCGTCTCGTCATACTTGTAGTGCCGCATCTTTTCCAGTAAGGCCTCGGGGATCAACGGTTGGTGGTTTTTCACTGCCATGATGAGGGGCTCGAACTGTTCTATGTCATCTCCGAGTCCTATCACTAGGGGTTCTCTCCTTATAGGCCAAGATGGGGCTTCATATGGCTGGTCAGCTGGATTCTCCACACTGCTGCTATTCAGGCTGAAAAAAAGTATAGAATTAAAAGGTAACATTCGCAAAGCAAATGCATAATGTTTACCTTCACATGATCTAGCCTTGCAAGCTACTTCTCTGTTTACTGTTACTGGGGTACATTCATATCTATGGTAACCAGCTCCTCCAACTATACTCTGCAACTTGCTACATAATGTTCAGCACTATTTACCATGGTGACAGACGTCTGGTCCAGGTCATTGACCTTATGTGTTTGGAGAAGAAGAAGAAACTGAGCAAATACAATATGTTTCCCATCTACGAAGGTAAACATAACAAAATGAAGGAAGAAATTATTTCAAACTTTCGGGAGGTATTTTGAGTTTTCGTGACGTCCAAGGTCAACCCCCATTTCCTGTATTGCCCTCCCAATGTTCTGACTGTCAATGATCCCCCACCCACGTGCTGTCAACCTTTCTCTGCCCGGATAAACAGGCACACGAACTTACAGCTCAGCCACCCAAAACAATACTTCCATACCCAGACGCAATTAGAAGTATGTACATACATACACCATTTCATGCAATTCTGGAGATTTTAATACTGAGTTTTTAACTGGCCAAGTGTGTTTTTCTCACCTGTTATGTGTACTTGAAACTTGAAATAGATACGAACAAAAAGGACAAATCCAACGACTTGGAGAACCAAGAACGCCGTCCTCTTTCGTATGGTCACGGTCAATGTAAGGTTCTGTCCAGCGTAGCTGCCTTTAATCCTGGGAGGAAGATGGGTTAAACTTTCAGATCTGTACATTATGGTGCCAACAGGTACCCAAGGTTTTTTTACGTATTTTAAATTTGTAGGGACCCCATCCCCAGGTTATGGTCTTGAATTTGTATAGGGGTTTCAATAAGTGTATTTTTGCGTTACTCAGCACATCAAATGTGTTACGGTAAAACGTTTTCGACTTTTATCAATTTGAAATAAACAGGACAACAAAATACCAGACTGTAAACAAGATGGCGGACGTGCACTACATTATGACTCGCTGACGTCACCATGTATTGCGTAACTACTAAATAATCAACACGGATTGGTCCTACGTTAAATTACTACAACTACCTACCCCATTTCCTCAAGACTGCTACTTCCTTGGAGTTGTCAAAAAGTCTTGAAGGCTCGTTGAAAAGACCTTACATTTAATGAAAAAGGCAGGGCAGATTTAACCTTCTTGGGCAGACACAGCAATTTTAGGTTATTATGTTGAGTTGTCATCGAAACCGGTTTTGCAAGAATCCGATTTGTTTCAGGTCAGCTCATTGAAACACAATGTAAACATCAAACCGCTGGTATAAAACTTTTCAAACTTTGCAGATATTGAGGAAATGACTATTGCTCCGCTGTGAAGTAGAGATATGTAATTTCAGGCCCTTTATTTTGTAACAGTTAGAGGTATTCCATGAATTCTATCTTGCCATATCTGTCTGTTTCTGTGCTGATGTGAAAGTTGAAGGTCAAACTTCATAATTAAGGGGTCGATCCAAATGACTTGTGGGGGTTATACCGAACAAAGTATTGCTGGTATATCTCATAGCGTTGTGCTGAAATAGTTTCCCTTGTGCATGGCCCAAACATTTGTCAACGTTCCTCAGCGTTTGTCAAAGCAGAAATCTTTGTCTTGCAAGCTTGTCCAGTTTTTCTAGAGCTACCCTCCCCCCACCAGCAATGGTTTATTCCTTAGGCTTATTATGGCAACGCCCTTGAGGAATCCATTGTTGCTAGTGGACAAAATATGGGGCGAGGCCATAATTTAGAGAGGACTGAACCCCCAATAATATCGACATTGTCAGAGAGCCTACTCAATAGCGCACCTAGCGGGTTGAAAAGGCCTACGCCCTGGAAAAAGCAAAAGGACATTGGCATACAATCGCGAGCAATTCTAGACTATTCCGCCAGGAGATGCAATGTATCCACTGTATGCCACAGATATTTGTCAAATTCATGTGTAATGATAGCATATTCCTTAACGTAGAACTAGTAGCAAATCGAGTAAAGAAAGTTGAGTTTTAAACATCCTATCCTAGCTTTCGCTCTCCTTACACTTTGAAATTTATAAACGGCCACTAGATTCACTATTCAAATCGACAGAATGAAAGTGATTGGCTAAAAATAGGAAATTATAAACGGTTACCAGATTCGTTATTCAAATCGACAAAAATAAAGTGATTGCCATAAAAAAGAACCAATGGCATGCTTCGTACTGAAACTACCCTCCAATGATCCTTCAACCAATGAACAGATGATTTAATTTTCTACCAACAGGTGTCACTGTGTATCCAAGTATAGGCTTTTAAACTCAAGTGTTCAGAGTTACTCGACTGAAAACGTAACATCATGCTCGAAAGACCGCCCTCTTGAACTCTGCCGGCCCCACGAACACCCCGCATCTCCCAAAGTCAAAGGTGTCGTTGCTGTAGTGGAAATTGAATATGTTTTCTCGATATTTAATATTTTGTGTGAGGAAGGGCGCGTATCCAGGTCACGACCTCCCCTCCCAGTCTATTACACATCGTGGTGAGATTGCTTAGGACGGTTCCACAAAACATATTAGGGGGTGCCTTTGGTAATCTCCTATCTTAACGCAGGTCTTTCTGTGGCAAAGTCGTAACCAACCGGCAAGACAGTACTAGTATCATTGTAGACAAGACAATTTTCAATAGGCAATGCAGTATTCAATCGGCAAGACAGTATCCAATAGGCAAGACAGTATCCAGTAGGGAAGACAGTTTAAATTTGCAACATGTATGGCTCTCGCAAAACTTTTACAAAATGGAACGGTTGCGATAGATACAATATGATATGGGCTTCCGACGAAATGTGTTGGAAAGCGATAACAACAATGGAAATAAAAGTTGAACACGATTTTCTAAATAGTCAATATACGCGTAATAAACACTCGTTTTTTTAACAGAAAGAACAGATAATAGAAATAAACTACCAAGAGCATTACTGTTTGAATATACTTTTCGTTACTGGTAGCATTGGTAATTGTTAGATCTCAAAAGCAAGTTTTAACAAGAAATCAAAGATTTTAGATTCCGGGATTCTTCGGCGTCCTGAATTCCCCCATGTTCTGCCTCTTAGCCAGATTCTGACTCTCTTGATGTCCTCTCATTCTGCCTGTCACTCATCCCCCACCCACGTGCTGTCAACCTATTGTGTCCGAAAAAAACAGCTACCCAAAACATATAGTCCCCGACGTCGCCATTTCCCAAAGACATCCTTGTATTATACCAATTAGTTTTCCCATAAGAGGGTGGGAGAGACTTAGGCTTATGGCGTAGCTCCTTGCAATGATTTCCATTACTTTAAGCGTGGGTGACAACTTTATTAACAGATAGGAGGGTGGGAAATAAGATTGGCACTTAATACACCAACGTGACGCTATCTTAAGCGTGATCAAACTTTCCTCCTCCAAATATACCCACTTGCTAACGTCTGTTTGATTATAACTTGTCTTTCACACCTTTTATTTAGCCTTGGAGCTCTGCGGAATGACAGGAAGAAATCCCTCAAAATTAATGTCCATCCGTCATGCGTTGTTCAATGTCATAATTTTCCAGCTGGAGCACATCTATAACACTTATTACGCATGCTTAACGCTTTCCAAAGGCCGCTGGTCTTAATTTGTTTTCCGTACTATCGTCCCTCGGCAGAGTCGGTGTTTCAGAGATATTGTCTTCCTACTAAAGCCTCAACCCTAAAGGCGGAAAATCTGTTACGAGTTAAGGTGTCTTCTGGGACGCTGGTGCCGTCTCGAGCGCTAGAAGGTGTGAAGGAAACGTTGTGTTGGTCTTGGAGCTAGGAAACCGCCAGGCTTTGTAAAATCAGCGGTCATTAATCATACAACACACCCCCTCTTTTTACCACTATTACTCTTCGTTTAAAGTTGTCAATATCTTTCCAATCACCCCAAGTAAGTTGGTCGAAGCTGTGGGTAAAATCTGGTCTTTCTTTTGTGAAGGTGAGGGACATTCTTATTGTAGTGTAGCTTAAGTAAAGAGCGCAAATGAAAGCTTAAGAGTAAAGTAAAATAACGCAATGGTATGTGGACATTTTGCTTCAACTGTGCCTCAACAGAATCAGTCGCTATAGCGCGAAATTGAGGATCTGTGTGTGGATGATTTTCAGCACCAGGCACAGGTCTGTTAATCTGTGTGTGACACCAGTGACTAGCCTGTTAAACTGTGTGTAGATGGTGTTCAGCACCAAGGACAGGGATTTTTGTGTGTGTATGGTGTTAAGGTACAGATGTGTTTGTGGATGGCGTTCAGCACCAAGGGCAGGACTGTTTTGTGTGTATGGTGTTTAGGAACAGGTGACTTTTCTTGTGTGTTGATGGCGCTCAGCACCAAGGACAGGAATATTTGTGTCCGGATGGTGTTTGGCTGTCTGTGGCTTGTGTTCAGAACCAATGATAGTGGATAGTGTTCGGGTACAGATATGCTTGCCAGTGCGTGGATGGCGTTCAGCAACAGAGACAGCTTGTAAACCTGTGTGCTTTTGGTGCTGTGTGGAAGGGCAGGTATAAGTGTCCTGTGCATATCTTACCAAAACAAAGAAACAAACCAGTAGAGTTGCTGTGTTCTTCAATACTCATCAGTAAAAATGCGACGATTTGCCACCAAACATCTGCTTGGAAATTCCTAGATCGGGCGACGTTCGGTAGTTATAATGTCGTCGACGAATAACGTTCTTTCCTCATTTTTCTTTACAGTTTCTCCCCCCTCATACATGTATAGCACTCTGGCGAAAGGTACCAAGTTTTGTGGCAGAACAACGTAACTATAACTCAACTGCCAATGTTTAATTCAGCTTTATGAATTACGCATGACCTTGATATACCACAACAACCAAAACCGTCACACCCCGCTGCTCTGGGTCCAGGGTAGGGCGGGGGTCGGAGACTCGCTAAATTCAGAAGTAATTTCATAACGTAATATTTCTTCTGACATGACTAAGACCCGGGCATAACCTCCTGATCTCTGTCCCAGCCCCGTAACAGCTGCTACAATATTAGAAACGTTGGGCAGTTTTTAATTTACTTTTTGTTGGAGCCGAGCCAGTGGTGGAAGACGAGAGATGATGTATATATACACGTGCTGGAGACACCCATCATTCCTGTGGGAAAAGGTGGGGAGGGGGGCACGGGTTCGTTGAACTTTGCTTCACTCACATAGGCTGGATGAAAATAGTATTTTTTTTCTCTGGTGCTAGTGTTTATACATTTTAAACTGTATTGTATTAGTTGTTTGATGATATCGTTATTTACGTGAAGAAATTTGGATGTGAAATCATAAATTTGACGCTCGGTGGAAAAACTTTTTCCTAAGTTCATTAAAATTTAGCTCAGTATTCAAGTACACTTATAGTTATTCTTTACTTTCCAAACACTTTATATTCTATGATAAATCCGTTTTCGTAACAGACCTGTCCTTGGTGCTGAACGCCATCCACACACAGTCAAACACACCTTTGTTCAAACGCTATACACACACATAGTCCTGTCCTTGGTGCTGAACGCCATCCACACACAGGCAAACACGCCTATCCCCAAACGCCATACACAATGAGAGATAGACCTGTCCTTGGTGCTGAATACCATCCACATATACACAAACAAACACTCCTGTCCTCGATTACCACACACCCATACACAAATAGACCTGTCTTTGGTGCTGAACACCATCCACAGTCAAACACACTTG